GGGGGGCTGGGATCGGAGAGCCGGGTTGGTGTGGCCGCGCGGTTTGGGGGAGAGGATCGGGTCTGGGAGGTTTCCCGGGAAGCGGGGCTGGTGTGGTCCTGGAGCTGGGGGTAAGCGGAGCGGGGCCGCGTGGTGTCCCGAGGCTCGGGGAGGCGGGGCTGGGGAGCCCCCGGGACTCGGGGGAGCAAAGCGGGGCTTCACCGGAGGCTGGTCTTCCCGGCCCTTAGCAGTGGAGGGGAGCAGCCCTACCAGCTGCCGAGGGGAGGAAGCAGCCCTTTTCTGGAGGAGGGAGGCAAGTGCCAGAGTTGGGCCGGGGCTGTAGAACAGCTGCAGTAGGGCAAAAGCTGGTCCAGGTGCCGAAGCACAGATGTGTAGACAGCTTCTGTCCCTTCTCTGCCTCGTAGACCCAAGGGAAATACGTGTGGGCTGGGGGCGGGGCGGGGGTGTGTGTGTGGCAGAGATGGTCCTTTGGGGCTGTGACTGCACTGGAGCAAGTGCTGTTAACTGAGCCTTGCGAGGGGAATGACTGCTCTCTCCTTTCATGCTTCTGGCTGAGCCTTTAGCTATTCCATTCGCCGCTGTTTGCTCCTTACACAATACGCAGGCCTGCAAGGGTAGCCATAGAGGAATGAGCTGAAGGGCAGAAAGCCAAATATTTGCAGCCTGTAGAAACTGAAGGATGTGAACCTTATAATGAGGTGATGTGTTGGAAAGTCTCTTTCACTCAGCACATATTGAGTTCCTGGGGCAAGACTATGTGGGGCTTCTCATTGGCTTGACAGGTAGACGAGATGTAAAATTTAAAGGAAGAAAAAAAAAAAAAAGAACCCACTTTTTGGGCACTTTCACTCAGGTTCTTTCATTATAAGTTTCTCATGAAATACTTCCGCGTTGTACCTGCGGGAAGGGGCTTCGCGTTCCCTGGATGTTACTCTTGTTCCTGTGAGGTGCAGAGCTGCAAGCAGGCAAACACTGTGGATGCGGTGAGAGCTGCAGTGGCTCTGTGCTGTGCATGGGTGCATGATCTGAAGGCGTTAGTACCGCAGAGGTAGCCACTCTCCACCCACACTAGCCACTGTCTCCAGAAATACAGAGGGTGCAGCCCCAGCTCTGCCGCTGTGACTAGCATGGCAGGGAGCCCAGGCTTTCCTCAAGTGCCCTGGTTGCTGTCTTTGTTTCTGTGTGGTGCATATGGGGATACTGCAATAGCGTTACTTCATATGTCAGCCCTATGCCTGAGGCAGGAGTTGCAGGAAAAGGCCAAGAGAAGTACTGTGGTCTCAAGGAGAGAATGTAGCTTTGAACATCTGGTTTTTCTTCAGGGTATTTTTAGCATAGAGTGATGGCAGGAGAGATGAATTCCTGGGACATCCTTTTGGAAGCACTGAAGGATCTTGTGTTGGACATGTTCAATAAGTTCAAGCTTAAATTATCACATATTGATTACAAAGGAATGCCTAATCTATCCAGAGGTTTACTTGAAGAAATGAATGATGTAGTCAGGCTTGCTGATTGCATGTGTGAGCACTATAGACCAGACAGTGCTGTGGAATTAGCCATCTGTGTGCTGGAAGGGATCAGTCAAAGAGACACTGCAACTAAACTGAAGCAGAAGAGACAGCAAGGTGAGGAAATGGGAGGTTCTGAATACTTTTTCTTTCTTTCTCTTTGACAGCTCCCTGGAAAAAGTGCAAGTGACTTCTTAGCAGTGGTGAGACAGAACAATTTTCAAGTCCTTGGGAAGTGGAAGCAGAGAAATTCAGTGCATTCCTTCCTAGAGAGAAGAACTGCAGGGACTCCTTCCTGCTGCTGCTCTACAGGTCCCTTTCAGGGACTGCTGTTTTGATTCTTCTCTTTCCCCCTGGGGTCTCCCATACCTGATGCACATTGTTTGTCCTCAAGAGTAGGAGAACCCCTTGATCATATGAGATGGGTTGTGGCCCACAGCCCAGGCTATTGTCCTGCTCCAGGAAGGAAGTGTGGCCCCATGTGAGAGCTGGGGTTCCTCAGTAGGAGAGGGGTTCCCTCCTCATGTGAAGGTAGTGCAGTGGGTGTCTGCTGCCTTCACCCCTGTCTGTAAGAAGGTTCTGGGGTATGGGATGAACGATAAGTGTTAGGGCATGAATCGATGTGCTTTCCCTTTGGTTGTGTCCGAGGAGGCTCTGGTTGTACCTGCCTGGGGCCCTGTGCTGCAGGAGTCTACAGGAGCCCAGGGATTATGCCTTTGGCCCCAGGAGCATGAGCAGAGAGAAAAGAGAGGTTGTAGGGGATCCCAGACTATTGTGCTCAGCACAGGTGTGGATCCTGATACAGTGTCAAGACAGACCAGGAACAGACTTCCTGGTTTTGGGTCTTTATAACCTTTATGACCTAAAGCCCAGGGCTCTGATGCCTGTGGGAGCTCCTCATGGGGTGCCTCAGGTGAACGGCGTATGAGAAGATGCACTGCTTGAACTCTGTTAGTCTCAGTAGCCCAGTCTTGTGAAAGAGAGAAATAGAAATTCTGTGGCCTTTGTGTTCTGAGTGTGGTAGGAAGACAACACAGTATGCTTTCAGGCTTTTGTTTTTTCTTTGAAAGACCAGAATTTGGTGCTCTTGGTTTTAACTAGAGAACTCGAGTAGGGAGAATGAAGGTCTAGGGGCTAATCACAGCCCAAGACATTGGGGGAGGACTTAAGCAGTGGAAATGGAAGAATTTTGACTCAATGTTTTTTCCTGCCCCTTTCCGTAAATGACTGCAAAGTGTCCCTTTTACTGGCCTTACTTTTGATTCTATCATGTCTGCCTTGATGTTTCTTGGGGAGAAATACTGGCAGGTTGAAAGAAGAACTCTGGGATCTGCCTGGATTTTCAGGGGGTTGGGGAGCATTCACAGTGATGATGTGCCAGTGTCAGGAACAAATCACTGACTTTGCAGTGTCCTCTGGGATTTTAGGCAAGCTTAGGCAAGGACTGGGCCCTGGAGGAATCCGCTGCCCCTAAGCATTGTCCATGGGATGCTGCTGCATGAAAATGCTAATATCTATGTTCAATTCCTGTTTCAGCTCTGGATACTGGAATGTCAGCTGAAGGTGAGTGCTGCTTCAGCAGAAACCGTTATGGTATATGCTGCTCTCTTAGCCAGGAGACAACAGTGCACAATCATTTGTCCATATAGGGAATGCAAAGGACACTTCAGATTATCCTTCCCTCACAGAGTTTGAAAGTAGAGAGGTGATTTGATAGGTGATAGCTAAGCAACTTTCATTATTACCTATTTATTGCAGTGGAGATTGGCCAGAGCACTGTTAACCTTTTGTATTCCATGAGAGAAATTAAATTGGAAGTCGTCTTTAGTAGAGATGCCACAGTGCTTTATAGAAAGAGGAGTATGCTTAGCAACTCTATTCCAACTAAATCCTCAGCAGTTTTTCCCATGAAAGCATTCTTCCCCAATGGGTCCCATGCTCCCAACCTGACTACCTAATGAAGATGTGTAAAGAGGAGCTGTCCTGTCCTGTCCCATCCCTCCCACCTGCTTTAAGTAAAACATGAGATGCCTGTTGAGGTGAGTGTTCACCATGAGCCATTGTTAAGGTCTTTAGAAATCACATAAAACAAGTGCAATGTAGTGGTAGTGTGTTGTTGGAATAGTTTTAATGATAAGGAGCTAATGGGAAATATGCACTTATTAGGGACTTATACTTATGTTTCTTACTGGTTTAGATTACCGACAGAAATACAGAGACCACGTAGCAAGAGAGTTCCATACATTTAAAGAGGGGAATGCTTGTCTGGGTGAGAATGTGACTCTAAGCAGTAGATATACGAAGCTGATGATGGTTACGAACCCTCAGGGAAGAAGTGAACTAGACCATGAAGTCCTGGGTCTAAGAGAAAGACGTGCAGAAGTCAGAAGAGAAGATACTCACTTTGCAGTTACTGTAGAAACACTTTTTCATCCTGATGAAAGAGGTCAAACTCCACAGATCATTGTGCTAGTGGGTGGCGCAGGGATTGGAAAGACAGTGACAGTAAGAAAGATCATGCTAGACTGGGCAAGAGGAGCCATTTATGCACAATTTGACTATGCTTTCTACATAAACTGTAGAGAAATCAACCTTTCGCAGCAGGCAGATATGCTGAGTCTGGTGAATCTGATCTCAGCCTGCTGTCCTTGTGGAAAGGCACCACCTGAAGCAATCCTGGCTAGTCCCGAAAAACTTCTGTTTATCATTGATGGTTTTGATGAACTGAGGTTTCCCTGTGATCAGCCAAAAAATAAACTGTGTTCTGACTGGGGGGAAAGGAAGCCAGTGGAAATCATTCTGAGCAGTTTATTTCAGAAAACTCTCCTCCCTCAGTCCTCCTTGCTCATCACTACAAGACCAACAGCTCTTCAAAGGCTGGGACAGTGTCTAAAGGAGGAGCGTTATGCAGAAATAATGGGCTTTTCAGATGCTGAGAAGGAGGAATATTTCCACACGTTCTTCAGGGATGAAGAGAAAGCAATAAAAGCTATTACCTTTGTCAAAAGAAATGACACTCTGTTTGCCATGTGCATTGTACCCATCATGTGTTGGACCATCTGCACTGTCCTTGAACAAGAACTTAATGAAGGGAAAGATCTTGCCCAGACTTCTAGAACAACCACAGAGCTGTACATGCTGTACATTTCCAGCTTACTCAAGCGTAGGACTGACCATCTGAAGCAGGATATGAAGAAATTCCTGAGCAGGCTTTGCTGCATGGCTGCTGATGGAATTTGGAAGCGGAAGATCCTGTTTCAGGAAAAGGAGATTGAGGTGTATGGCTTAAATCACCCAGTCCTCCTCTCCCTTTTTCTGAATGAAAGTGTTCTAAGAAAACGTATGAAGTGTGTGAGTGTCTACAGCTTTCTTCACCTGAGCTTTCAAGAGTTTTTTGCAGCATTGTATTATGCACTGGAGGACAATGAGGAAACTGGAGAATTGGGCATGCCAGGGAACGATATAAGGAAGGTGTTAGAAAAGTACACTGAGTATGATACAAATTGGATATTAGTGGTACGATTCCTGTTTGGCCTGTTAAATGAGGAAACAAGTAAGTACCTGACAGAAAGAACTGGGTGTAAAATCTCACCTAGAGTTAAGAAAGACTTACTGAAGTGGATTCAAATAGGCCAAGGAGTGATTGACAACTTGAATGTATTTCACTGTTTGTTTGAGATTCAAGAAGAAATGTTTGTGAGCAATGCATTGGAACATTTCACTGGGATAGTTCTGAAAGACTGCATCCTGAGCCAATATGATCAAATGATCCTTGCATTTTGTGTCAAACAGTGGACTGGGCTGAACTCCTTTCATCTTGAATATTGCGCAGTTGCACTGGAAGACCATGAAAATGAGTTTATTCCAGGACCTCCAGATAGGTCACATCAGTAAGTATTGTTTGCAACCACAGGAGTGGAGTTTCTTGATTACATAAATCGATCCTCTCCCCTGTTTTAAAAACTAAAAATGGTTGTAAGTTTTCCATTATAAAAACCAGTGTGAAGCTAATGCTATGGTGAAGAGAATCTTCTTACTCTCATACTAACAAAATTCCCCTGCCTCCATCCTCTGTGTTACTTATTTTTTTACTGATTCACTAAGCCTGTTGTGGAGAACATGTATGGAGGCAGGACCTGGTGTTTCAGCAGCTGTAGAAAGGAGGAAAAGAGTAGTGAATTCAGATGTCCCTTTTCTCTTCAAAGCCTTTGCTCCTAGGCAAAGGCAAATATTAGCCTGGAGTGACTTTTTTCTGCAGGAAGTTCAAACAGCTTCCTTCCCCATACTACTTCTACAGGGACCTATTCTCCTGTGCAGAAAAGGTTTTTAAAGGTATGTTCATTTGCCTGTCCAGTTTGGCTTATGCTGTGGGGGACTTCTTAGAACTTGAGTAACACATCACTGGAAAAATGCAGTTTTCCTTTATGCCCTTCTTATCTGTGGGGTGCAACCGTCTCTTTGTGGAGAGGCTTGCTTGTGATACTGGATGACTGTCAAAGCACAATCCTCTATTGTTTGAAAGGAGAGAGGCCTATGACTGTGGAGCTGTCAGCCCAGGAGGAATGGCCCTGGTGTGGGGACAGAAACTGTCTTTGAAATTACACCTTTGCTCAGAATTGTCCAAAGGTGGAACTTGGACTGAGACAGAGCTGAAAAGAGGCAAGTTGGTGTGTCTAGAGGAAGGCGCAGTACAGTTATTTGATGTGTGCCATTTCGTCAGTGTGTTCTTTCAAATAATAGGTTGGTTTTTTTGTTTTCACAGAATGGTCAGGGTTGGAAGGGACCTCTGGAGATCATCTAGTCCAACCCCCCGCCAGAGCAGGGTCACCTACAACAGGTTGCACAGGATGGCGTCCAGGTGGGTTTTGAATGTCTCCAGAGTGAGAGACTCCACAACCTCTCTGGGCAGCCTGTTCCAGTGCTCCACTACCCTGTTTTCTAAAGGACAGTTAATATTGAGGCCAGTAACAGAGACAGTCTCTCACCTTCCTAGGCTCACACAACCCAGTGTATGCAATGTCAATGGGATACTGAAGACAAGTGCTGAGAAGTTTTTCAACTTTGGTTTTTCAGTGTCTTGCATATAAGGAGAGGCTGAGAGAGCTGGGACTGTGCAGCATGGAGAACAGAAGGCTTAGGGGGAACTCATCAATGTACATAAATACTTGAAGGGAACGTGTAAAGAGGAGAAAGCTAGGTTCTTTTCAGTGGTGCTCAGTGACAGGACCGAGGCAGTGGGCACACAGGAGGTTCCCTCTGAAGATCAGGAAACCCTTTTTCACTGTGAGGGTGACCGAGCACTGGCAGCCCAGGGAGATTGTGGAGTCTCCATCCTTTGTGATATTCGAAAGCTGCTGGTTATGGTCCTGGGCAACCTGCTTGAGGTGGCCTGAGCAGGGTGCTTGGAGCAGATGACCTCCAGAGGTTGCTTCCAACCTCAAACATGTGGGGATTCTATGATTTATGGTCTTTCAGAGATCCACTGTCTCCACTGCCACCTGCTTCTGGCTGAAATGCTGTGTTTTGCAGCAGGTTTGTGGTAGTGCCCAAGGACGTTCTCAGCCCTTCCACCACTCAGGTGTGGTCCTGTCATTCACTCTGCTCTTTGAGGATCACTTTGATTGATTGTGTGAGATTGCATTCAATTAAGATTACTTACTGTTGCAGATTTCTTTCAAATTAGGATGGTAAGTGTCTTTAAACAGGAAAAGCTGCTGCAGCTTTAGGTGTGGCAGTGTGAGTCTTCCACTGGAATAGGGTGCTTCAGAGACCTCATATTCTAACTAGAAAGACTTGTATTGCAAAGCATAGCTAAAGCTAATGCATTTCTGAAACAAATGATCTGTACTAAAGATACCCTTTAAAGTCTTCAGAAGGCCTTTCCTTCTAAGCTCAGCTCAGACTATCTTGCACTGAGTTTGCAGTGCAGATCTATAGTCAGTGGCACCCAAGAACAAGCAGTCTCTTGCAGATATGTTTTTTTCCTTCCTTCTGGCTGCCCTCTGAGGGTGTTATCAATCTTTCCAGCACATAGGCTTCAGCCCTGTTCCTTTCATCCAGTCTCCAGCTGCTAGACATGAAATTGATGGTTTGTGTGAGAACCTAAATGTATTCAATGGATGGGTTTTGCTGCTTTAAAAGGTTTCTTTCAGTGAAAAGTGTCTCTTAAGTGGGAGAAGCTGCTGTGATATGGGGCCTGGAATTGGGACTGCTCCACTGGAAGAGAGTGCCTTAGAGGGGAGTTTTTCTTCAGAAGTAAACTTTTGTGTAACTAACGCGCTCATATAAGTAATGGAGTTCAGAAATAACATTCTGTGCAAAGGATGACCTCATAAGCTTTCCAAGGCTTTTTACCCTGAGGCTGTTTCACATAAAGGCTGCCCACTCAGAGCTACAGCATTGACTCCTGTCACTGGGGGTTTTAAGTCAGTCTTAACCAGATTGATGAGTGCTGTTTGTCCCATGGGCTTCTTGCATATCCTCATTCTGAACAGGGACATACTGTGCACTGCACCATATGAGAGACAGCACTGCTCAGGACCTCATGGCTCAGGGGAAGGGGTGCTGAGCCCATAGCTTTGCTTTCTATTTCTGTGCCCAGCCTTTTTAAAGTCCCTATCCCCTATCTTGTCTCTGTCTGTCATAAACTCTTTCCTCACACTGTGAGAGCTAAGCTTAGGTGAGGGACCATGCAAAGCCAGGCTGTGCTGGAGAGATCCCCAGGCTCAAGACAACACTGTATAGAGGTATCCAATTTACTCCTTACCCTTTGGATGCAAAAGCCTGAGATATGGCCTTCTGCAGCCTGTGATTACATGCTCTCCACTTCTCCCTAGGGGTGCTGTTTTCCTGCTAAAAGCTCTCATGGGTAATGTGACTCTGCCAGAGTTGATCTGTGCTGTATGACCAACCAGTGGCTGTGGTGGCTCAGCTTATGTTTTATCTTGCAAAGCAACGCTGGATCTGTGACTTGGATGGTGCATGGGTCTTTTCTGTATCTGTATTTCCACTGTCAGTAGTGTGACTGATGAGTTTGGAAAGGGATGGTAGTGGTAGTCTCTGGGTGTTTCCCCATCAATGTTAGGGAGATAGTTCTGGTGTTCCCTCACCACAACTAAGGAAAAAATGTGAGGAATCCCCTGGCAGCACAAGTCTGGCGCAAGTGGAGTGGAAAGAGCAAGTTTATTGTCCTGCTCTAAATTACACCGATCGAGAGCCTGGCTGCCCAACAGGTAAAATCATGAAGATTTTGGGTTGGAAGGGGCCTTTTAAAGATCCTCTAGTCCAGCCTACCTGCCATGAACAGGAACATTTTTCACTAGACCAGGTTGCTCAAAGCCCCATGCAGCCTGCCCTTGAACACTTCCAATGATGGGGCATCCACAGCTGCTCTGCACAGTCTATTCCAGCACCTCACCACCCTCATCATAAAAAATTTCTTCCTTATGTCCATTCTAAATCTGCCGTCTTTCAGTTTAAAACCATTGTTCCTTGTCCTGTCACTAGAGGCCCTGGTAAACAGTCTTTCTCCATTTTTCTTGTAGGCCCCTCTAAGTATTGAAAGGCTGCAACAATGTCTCCCCAGAGCCTTTTCTTCTCCAGGCTAAACAACCCCAGCTGTCTCAGCCTTTCTTTGTAAGAGAGGTGTTCCAATCCTCGGATCATTTTCATAGCCCTCCTCTGGATCTGCTCTAACAGGTCCATATCTTTTTTTGTATTGGGGACTTCAGAACTGGATGCAGTGCTATAGGTGGGGTCTCATGAGAGCAGAATAGAAGGGCAGAATCAGCTCCCTCAATCTGGCTGCTTTCCAGATCTGTGCAGTTACAGCCCTGAGGTAGGTTCTTGTTCTTTTACCAGGCCTCTAGGCTCCTGCTCATAGTACAGCTGGCATTACTTAATGGGCCCAGCTGGACTTGGTCCCTTGGTTTCTGTCTTTAGGAGTTCACTGCTCAGTGGGGACTACAATCACCCTTTTCCAAACGGTATTTTTTAATGTACAGAGAAGGAACACAGCTTATAAGAAGGGGTTAACACCAAAAGTGAAGGCTGTGAATGTGCTCCTGTTCCTGTCTCTTGCTTGGGGGCGTTGTTAGCTCTCTCTCCCTTTCACAGCTGGGGCAGTTTCTCTTCTTCAGTCCTTGAATTTTCAGGAATTCAAGGAACAATGTCTTTTGATTTGATCAGAGATGAGGCAGTTTTGGAGACCTCTGTTGAGGCAGCCCAGTGCATTGCTTCTTGAAGGTTTGCAGATGAGAGTGAATAGCAGCAGCCCATCTTCCCTGGGAATACTTCTTAACAAACTTGATCACAGCCAACACAATCTGTGTACATAGACAGCAAAACTAGACATGTCTCAGGTAGCTGTTTACAGTACAGCATTTGTGATTACTGTGAATTTGGTGTAAATCTGACCTAGAGTTGCACAGTATGAAATGCACCTGTTTGGTGGTGGCTTGAGGTTTTTTTTCAGTAAACTGAAGGTACTTACAGTTAGGCTTTGAGTGGGGTGTTATGCTCCCTAACATGCTATCTTGATATTTTTGAATTTGTAACAAATTCAGCTTGCATCCTGTAACGCAGATCATGTGTTCTCTGACTTTTCTAGGCATGCATCCCAGGCAGAGGAGTCTAGTTCACCGCCTGTGTCCCTGCTCTGTCAAGCTTTAGGAAATCCAAGGAGCAAATTAAAAACAGTCAAGTGAGAAAACTATTCTGTTCCTTAGAGACAAACAAAAATGGCAACCCTTAGCTCAAATACACAGCTCACTCTGTTTACTTGAATCCTGCTGATGAGGAAATCCCTTTGTTTGATGCTGTTAAGCCTGCTGTCTGTGACCAGGTATTGGAGAGATGGAGTGGAGTCCTTTTGCAGCCTGATAGAGCTCATGTTCACAACCCTCATACCATAGACTAATATCCAAGGGCCCTGCAATGAGGCATTTGGGGAAGGGAATTTTCCATGACTTCACTGGAATCTGGCACTGTCCCTCTAGGAACTTCAACTAAGGGTGAGGGAGGTGTGGAGAAATAGACCTTGATTTCAAATCAGGAGTCAATATGCTTAGGAAGCAAGGAGGAGACTTGCTCTCCTTCTGCTCTTCTTTACTTCATTAGACAGGATAAAAGCACATCAGAGATATCCAAGTGGTTTCCCACCCCAGAGAAAGGGATAGCAGAGCACAAATTGTATGTCCTTGGAGGGGCATCCACAGTAAAACCTAGCCTGATCTTCGGCCTGCAGTGAATCCAACAGATTCTTGTGGGTTTCCTTTCCTCCCCAGGAGCACAGTCCAAAGGGAGGGCTGTGGTGGCTGAGGCGAGACCTGGCAGCTGCCCCCTGCCCAGGCCTGAGGGCAGAGCTGGCCTTTGCAGGGTGTGTCCCACAGGGTGAGTGTGGGGCTGAGGGCAGCTGGACACCCAGCAGCCTGCAGGGAGCCAGGCATAGTGCCAGGGCAGGGCAGCCCCATGGCCACCTGCAGGCACAGCCAGCTGGGATTGGGCATGTCGCTGTCCCTGTTCCATCACATCAACAGGTCCCTGTTCCACGACCCTGCCCTGGGCTAGGTCCCAAAGCAGAGCTGTGCAGCTGAGGGGCCATTGGGTGCCTCCAAGAAGGGAATTCACTGAGGGGAGTGGGCAGTGGCTATGGTGCTGGCCCATCATTGGCCGTGGGCTGGGCATGTAGTGAGTTTGAGCAGGGGTTGTGGTCTTGGGCCTGGTGGCTGTGATAACCCCACAACTTTTCTCCCTGTGTCTTCCTTGCAGGTTGTGGTGGTGCCGACTCAGCAGCACCATCTGTGAGGACCTGGCCACAGTGCTCAGCACCAGTCAGAGCCTGAGAGAGCTGGACCTTGGTGATAACGAGCTGGAAGGCCTTGGACTGCAGCTGCTGTGTGAGGGGCTCACACATCCTTCCTGCCAGCTGCAGACGCTGCGGTGAGGGACATGGGGCTCCTTGGGGCTTTTCCCAG